ATATATTTCTTCAATTATTTATTATGTTTATGTAAAATGATTGCAAAACATTAAATCTAAGTAAGAACTGAACATATCCTAAGATAGACCTATTCGTCGAAATCCGGGAAAATGTTTTCGTTATAGAATGAAGTTTGTCCTTAAAAAATTTAATTCAATATTTTAATTTAAAAGAGTATTAAGAAATACATAAGCTCTATTAATTTAAATTACTTGATTTCTTATTTGTTGTTTAGAATAATTGGCTAGCATTCGATGAAAAACTAGAAATTTTTGGATTTATATTTTGTTCAAGAAATAATTTGCCCAAAAGTTCATTTCCCTACACCATGCCATATTTCATCCACAAGTTGTTTGCCTTCTTCAGGGTTGGTTCTTAGCCCTCTCCAGTTGTAGACTCAAAGAGTGCAGCGTTAGGTCCAAAGCTGCCTCCTTCATTTTTTGGATCTGCTTTGCATCGATAAACTACTCAGTTGAATAATTTTCCTTTGAATTTTTGTCAGATGTTAACAAATGCGGCACCACTCGCGCACAGCTTTGCACAGCCCAAAACGTAATGTGAATCATAATACTAGTTACGCATTCTACTGATTTTATTGGCTCTAGAGTTATTCAGTTCCGTTTTTCCTTTTCCGATTCAAACTTTTTTACTTGCGAGTCGTCACCTCAGAGAACTGTTCGAACGAGTTTGTTATGCACTGAGCGACTTTTTTTTTAGTTCACAGAAAATCTCTGAGCTATGCTTGAGTTGAGGAGAAAGTCTTTTAGGTGTTGAGACCATTTCTCTTATCAATCAGAAATACATCAAATCTTTCAAATGTAAGTATTTTTTATACAAGCTCTTGTTTTTACAGTTTGTCGATTTTCATGAAACTGATCAGTATCTTACTTGAATGATTGTCCAGAAATTTTATGTTTGAACTAATAAAGGAAATATATATATATACTTCCAAGGGAGATAAAATAAAGATTTAACTAGGGCATACTTGTTTTTTATTTATAAGTATTTTTTGTATAATGGTGTTTGTAAAATGATTTTAAAAAAGATGGAAGTATATTTAAATGGCCTTTTAACGATTTTCTTCTACTCATTGTTACTATATCTGGGTTAAACTTTTAAAGTTTTCCTCACATTTAAAGCGTCAATTGAACTGAAATTTTCTATACATCGATTGTTTGAAAGAACAATACAATAATTTAACCATATTAATAAAATTAATTGATTAAGCCTAAGAATTTAAAGGATAAAATTTTCTATGTAATTACAAAATAATATAAATAATAGAGTGTAGCCCAGCTAGCTCAATGGTAGAGCACGAGACTCTTAATCTCGGGGTCATGGGTTCGAAGCCCACGTTGGGCGAAAGTTTAATTTTGACATTTTTACAGTATTTACTTTATTTAATTGTAAATATGTCTTGATCAACTTTAAAAGCTTTTTCTCATTTTAAACGCCTAATAACTCGAAATTACACGTTGTTTTGGATGACTATATGATTCAATATAATAAATAAAAATTAATTGATTACTAATTGTATTTAAGGAATAATTTTACACATTCCAACTGTCTGCTTTAAAATCTTAAAGTTAAAAATTATGTTACGCAAAGTGTGAAATTTGAAAAGACCATTTTAAAAAATTCGTTTTTTAACGGTGTTATTAAAAGAGTTAGAACGAACGTAGTCGGATATAACTTGAGCATAAATTTATCTCTTAATTTAAATTAATACTATAGTAATAAAGAAACTATCGTCGATAAAAATAATTATTTGTATAAAGAAGTTTCAACTACATTTTTTTTCAGCACTTGAAACCCAACTTCTCAACTATTATAATTTCGTTTGAAACAAAGCTCAGACTTCCCAACTTTTTTCTTTGAATTTAATGTTGAATTTCTCTTGTAATTTAGATTATTTATGTTGAGATAAAAACTTTCACTGGCAGAATTTGAAAGTGGGAAGTGAAGTTTCGGTGACATCCTGAGAGGAAACATTCGAATGAAAACAAGACTATCGGATAACAAAAATAGAAGCGGAATGAAAACAAGTCATTCCCTTTCGTTATCAAACACAAGGTTACTACTCTCAGTATTTTTGTTATTGCGATTTTTTTTATCTTAATATTACATAAAAAATGAACTAACTAAGGAAGAAAATTTAACATTCAATTCCGATGGCAAAGGCAATAATCTTCGTTTTCGAGAGAGAATTAAGAATATTTTTTTACAAGTTTATGAACAAATGTTTCATGAATATATGTAGTTACATATAAACGATATATGTTAGAAATGTGAAAAACTGTTCTTTTAAGGTCAGCTATTTATTCCCGATTCTGTTCTTTTTAAAAGAATTGTTCTTTATCCATTTCTTTTGATCTAATTCTTTTTTGAAACTTAAACCTCTATAATAGAAAAGACGAACATAAATTAAATGCATATAATTCTCTTTCTTAAATAAATACAAAATGCAAATGAATATGTAAATATATACATTGAACGAAATTCGTGAAACAAACATTATGACAGTTTTATACATCGATAAAGAAAACGATATTTTTTAAAAGAAAGCAGTTTGTATTCATATATATAAGAGTAGTATATATATAAATATATAGAGAGAGTATATATAAATATATATATATAAGGTGATTATTTCATCCTTGACTTTATACTTTCAAAATTTATAAAATTTATACTTATGTTTCATCACTTCTTTGCTAGTTTCTATTTTCATCACTTCACTTATAACTTTAGCTACTTTCACTCATAATTATCTTAAACTCCATATGAGATCAGATAGTACACACTTTTGTTGATATAACAATAGTTCCTTTATTCATTCAATAACCGTTCCTTTCTTGGCGTTACTTTGTGATCAGAGTAGATTTTAGCACTCAAACACCCCGAGATCTTCACAACTTTCGCTGACAAATCCGCTTGCTTACATCACAGTTCACAGATCTGAGCCATCAGGAAAGAGACAACTTGGCATCACCCTTTACAAAACACTTCCAGATGGGTTTAAGCACTAGAGATAATACGCACGCACGCACGCGCGCACACACACACACACACACATATATACATAAACATATATATGTAATCAGAAACTATTTAAACATTGGAAAGAGTATAAAATCTATTAATTTAATTAAAAGCAAAATTATACAAACAATAATATAAGAAATGGTGATAATGGGGAAATACTATAAGCAACAAAATGTAAACCTCAAGGGAGTCCTGCTGGTAATAGTATAAAGGCAAATATTTATACATTCTTTGAATATAAGTATAATTTTAAGTTATTTAGATATTGATCTTATAGTTTCTAAGTTAATTTAATACAGATACTATACCACATAAGCGCTTTATCCTGCATTTAAATATGAGATTAAAACTTTGTATAATAGTATGAAATAAGTTTCTTTTAAATGTTAAATTTAAAAATAGCTATTAATGAGAATTTTGTGTACATTTATGACAAGAGATAATTATTGCTCTTATTACAGAGCAAGAGGAGAGAAGAGAGAATTTCTGCTGTGGTTTTGGCTATAGCAGGATCAATAAATGTCACATAACACGGTATAGACTAGGGATTGTGGGGAATTTCAAATAGACAAGGAGTCTATAAGGATTATTTTGATAGATTTATAATCGTATTAACTAGTTTTATGAGCGCCTGATCTTAATAAATAAAAGACAAATTTGAAATGGACTAGAAATAAGAATGAACTTCTTACTTTGAATTGGGGAGGGATGGAATATTCAATTAAACATAAGAGAATTATTAATATATATACATAATGTAAAAGTAAATGATTGTTGTATAAATTATAAACTGAAACTTTGCTCCTTGAATATTTTTCAGAAAAATCATATTCGTTATTCCTTACCCACAAAAACATTCTTTTATCTTGAAAACAAGCAATGAATTTGAAATTAGTTTTGGAGGATGAGTTGGAAAATGGTGAACTCTTCCCATCCCCCAAAAATTATCGCCATATAATATATGTCTATTTTGCTGTTGAATAAATATTCTGAAGAAGTTAAATGATTTTTCTCTCGATAATTTATCAGATACATACAGAACGAGTCAAACTTCATAATTTAAAGCAATTTTTAAGTACTTAGTAAATTTTATTCAGGCGCACCTTTGTAACTGTTTCAGGAAGTCCTACAGTATCATGGTTTCATTGATTTATATGGGAATAAACTGAAAATCGATTAATAGAGCGTTTTGACGTATTGTTTCAATGAACGATGCGTCAAAGTAGGATTCGAACTGAGTGACACAATGTTAGCACTGCGGTTTTCTCAAAAGCAACTTTTGTTTTGACTGCATTTAGTAAAACTGAATTTCGTTATTTCATCGATTGACAAGAAACAAGAATATAATGATTTTATTCAGAGGTATCAAAAAGAAATTGCTCATCGCAAATACGTACATGTGAACGATTTACTGTAGAATTTTGTGATGGTAAATGTTAAAAAGAAATATCTTAGAAATGATAAAGAGTTATTTCCAAATTTTATTACAGAAAACCAAAGTGTTTTCCTGGCCTTTTATTAAAGGATTTGTTTCTTCAACTTAAGTTACATATTATATTGTATATTTTATGTTTTATGCAAAGATATTTTTATTTATTTACAAATAAATATGGCTCTTAATGCTATTATTTAATTTATATGGCTCTTATAATTATTTGGCTTTATTAATTTATTTGAATTTTTAATTAATATTTCTGAGAATTGAAACAAAAATTGAATACGTAACTTTTACTCGAGATATACTATTGATCTATGTCTATTTTACTTTACTAACAATTTAGAAAATTGTTCAAAAATTTTAAATGTAATTTTCTTAAAAATTTTGTTATTTAAATAAAAGCTGCAAATGTAGCATGTATCTAAACAATCTTTCATACTAAAAATAATATATTAATTTTTAAAAATATTTTGAGGAGTCAATGCACTGAACGAAGCATAACAAAAAAATAGAAATATCTTCCAATATAATCAAAATAATTTTGCCCTCAAAACATGCCATGAAGAAAGTCAAACAGGGACGAAACAATTTGAAGGTCTCTAGATAAACATGTGTGTGTGCGTGTGTGTTAATCATATTTTTAGCAATATTTTACCTTGATTTTATGAAAATCAAGGTAACACAGCAATTGATAGGTAAAAACATTATTGTTGTTCGAGAAAGTTTACTTCTGTCTCTCAATCCAAAAGGAACTTTAACAGAAATTTTAAATTGTCTTAATGTACTAGTATTTTTGAAAATTATACTCATTACCGGTGAAAGCAGGCAGAGAATAGTGACGCAAACAAGAACTCACCAACTTTCTAATACGATGTGTGCACGTTAGTAATTGTGTTAACTAATTTTAAAAATCTTTACTTTCTTTTTAATTATATTTTGGCATTCTTATATAATAAAATGCACATATTTCTTCTGTCGACATCTACTTTCCAAAATTCTTGTAATTAACGATAAACCGCAAGTTTTGCAACATCTTGCGCTACGGATTTTCAACCTTATTTACAGAAGTTATTTTCGAATAGCTCTTCCATTTAGCTGATACTCTTGTGCTTAACCCGTCTTTTAATTACTTCCTTCAACGATGTTGACCGATTCTGGTGAAGAGAAACCATTTCTTCTCGCTGTTAATTTTTTTATTTCTTCGCCGACACTACTAGAACGTCGGCTATTTCCGACTGCCCTGATCCTTTTATTTTGATCGATATTTAAATTAAATTGAGGGAAAATATTTTAGTTATTGATCTTAATTAGAAAGAAAAAAATTAATTAATAGAAACTTCATAACTTAGGCAGTTACCTTCCTATTTCCTATTTTTTTAAATGAATATTAACCTTCCTTCGTTTCATTTCTCATGTCGGTTTTGCTATTTTCTTACTAGCTTAAAAAACACTAGCACAAAATATTTTAATCGTGATTCGCATTGTATTACGATGTTAAGAGCTTTGGATACAAGGAAAAGTTTATATTATGTTTCATATATCAGGAGCAACTTTTAGAAACATGTATCATCTTTATTTATTATTACTTCCCTTCAAAGATATGCATCCACTCAATGTTTGTTTACTATTTCGGTTTGTATTGATTCCCATCACCGTGAGTTTGATGGACTCGCAAATGTTTATTTTCGCTTCGGTGCTGTTTAAACATCTGGTCATGGACCATGAATATTTGAGTACGCAGTGGAAATGTTTCTGTTGACATTACGAATAACTCCGAACAAGACATATCTCAAGTATTTAATGGTATTCCTATTGACTTTTTTTCGTTCCGTAACACCTGATGGATTGGAATGGGAGTTTTCGAAACACTCGTTCCAAT